AACCACGCACCAATATCTCTCATGAACACAGATGCAAAAACCCCAACAAAATATTAGCAAATTTAATCTGACAAGGTATGGGACAAATTATACACCACAACCAAGTGAAATTTATCCCAACTATACAAGGCTGGGTCAATATTTGAAAATCAGCTAATATACCTATCATATCAATAGTCCATATGATCATTTCAAAAGATACAGAAAAAGCATATGACAAAATCTAATACCCATTCATGAAACTCTTTGCAAACTAGAAACAGAATAAAACATCCTCAACTTGATAAAGAAAATCAAACAAAATACCTACAGCTAACACCATACTTTTTTAACATTTTTATTTTATATTGGAGTATAGTTGATTTACAATGTTGCGTTAGTTTCAGGTATACAGCAAAGTGATTTAGTTATACATATACCTATTATTTTTCAGATTTTTTTCCATAAAGGTTATTACAGAGTATTGAGTAGAGTTCACTGTGCTGTACACTAGGTCCTTGTTGATTATATTATATATAGTAGTGTATATATATTAATCCCAACCTCCTAATTTATCCCTCCCCCCACCTTTTCTCTTTGGTAACCATAAGTTTGTTTTCTAAGTCTGTGACCTACAGTTAACACCATACTTAAAGGTAAGATACTAAATGCTTTCCCCCTAGATCAGGAATAAGACAAGGATGTTCCTTCTCACCACTCCTACTCAACATCATGCTAGAAGTCCTAGCTAATGCAATAATACAAGAAAAGAAAAGAAAAAGTATAAAGTTTGAGAAGGAAGAAGTAAAGTTGCCTTTTTTCACAGATGGCATGACTGCCTGTATTAAAAACGGTGATTCCCAAAGAATCACCAAAAATCTGCAATGAGTAAGTGATTACAGAAAGATTACAGCATACAAGAGTAATATACAGAAGTAAATTGCAATTCCTTTCTTATATACCAACAATAAACAAGTAGAATTTGAAATTATAAACACACCATTTACATTAGTACCAAAAAACTCAATACTTAGGTATTAATCTAAATAAATATGTACAGGATATATATTAAGAAAAAAACTATCTCATGAAAAAAATCAAAGAAGATACACATAAATGGAGAGATATTCCATATCCATGGATAGGAAGACTCATTACTGTTAAGACATCAGTTCTCATCAATTTGATCTGTAGATTCAAAGCAATCCCAATCAAAAACCCAGCAAGCAAAAAAAAAAAAAAAAAAAGGGAGTGGACTTGCCTGACGGACCTTGGTTAAGACTCCAGGCTTCCACTGCAGGGGGTGCAGGTTCGATCCCTGGTTGGGGAACTAAGATCCCCTATGCCACACAGCATGGAAAAACAAAAACAACAACAACAACAAAAACCCAGCAAGTGATTTTGAGTGTATCAACAAATTGATTCTAAACTTTAAATGAAAAGGCAACAGATCCAAAGAATAGAATACAATACTGAAGAACGAAGTTGGAGGAGTGACACTATCCAACTTCAAAAACTTACTATAAAGTTACAGTAATCAGGGGCTTCCCTGGTGGCGCAGTGGTTGAGAATCTGCCTGCTAATGCAGGGGACACGGGTTCGAGCCCTGGTCTGGGAGGATCCCACATGCCGCGGAGCAACTAGGCCCGTGAGCCACAACTACTGAGCCTGTGCGTCTGGAGCCTGTGCTCCGCAACAAGAGAGGCCGCGATAGTGAGAGGCCCATGCACTGCGATGAAGAGTGGCCCCCGCTTGCCACAACTAGAGAAAGCCCTCTCACAGAAACAAAGACCCAACAGAGCAAAAATAAATTAATTAATTAAAAAACTCCTACCCCCAACATCTTCAAAAAAAAAAAAAAAAGAAAACCACAGCTTTAAAAACAAAAAAAGTTACAGTAATCAAGACAGTATGGTATTGGCAAAGAACAGAAAAACAGATCAATGGAACATAACAGAGATCCCAGAAATAGGCCCACACAATACAGTCAACTGATTTTTGGCAAAGAAACAAAGGCAATTCAATGGAGAAAGGTTAGTCTTTTTAACAAATAGTGCTAGAAAAACTGCACATTCACATGCAAGAAAAATTAATTTAGACACAGACTCAATTCAAAATGGATCATAGATTTAAATATAAGAGGCAAAACTATGAAATTTCTAGAAAATAACATAGGAAAAAGTCCAGGTTACATTGGGTTTGAAGATGACTTTTAGGCACAACAACAAAAGCACAATCCACGAAAGAAAAGTTCAACTTCATTAAAATTCAAAACTTCTGCTCTGCAAAAGACACCGTTAAGAGAATGAAAATATAAACCACAGACTGAGAAAAACATCTTTGCAAAACACATATCTGATGAAGAACTTGTGTCAAAGATATACAAAAAACTTTTAAAACTCAACAATAAGGAAGCAAATGATCCCCCCATTTAAAAATAGGTAAAAGATCTGAACAAATACCTCACCAAAGATATACAGATGGCAAATAAACATATGAGAGGATGCTGAACATTATATATCATTAGGGAATCACAAATTAAAACAATGAGATAAAATTTAATTTAAAAAATGATATAACACTATGCACCTTTTAGAATGTCTTAAATCCAAAATTCTGACATCAAATGCTGACAAAGATGTAGAGCACCAGAAATTCTCATGCTCGTTTCTAGTAAAAATGCAAAATGATACAGTCCCTGTGAAGGACAGCTTGGCAATTACTTACAAAACTAAACATACTTTTACTATATGATCTAGCAATTGTACTCCTTAGTATCTACCCAAATGAACTGAAAAACTTCTGTCTGTAGAAACACCTTTGTTTATAGTAGCTTTATTCATAATTGCAAAAACTTCGAAGCAACATAGATGTCTTTCAACAGATGAATAGATAAACTATGGTACATCCATATAACAGATTACTATTCAACAATAAAAATAAATGAGCTATAAAAGCATAAAAAGACATGGAGAGACATTAAATGCGTATTGCTAAGTAAAAGAAAGACTGCATAATTTCAAATATATGATATTCTCGAAAAGGCAATATTCTAGAGACAACAAAAAGATTAGTGGTTACCAGGGATTCAGTGGATGGAGGGAGAGATGAATAGGGAGAACATGGGATTTTCAGGGCAGTGAAACTATTCTGTATGATACTGTAATGGTGAATACATGACATTATGCATTTGTCACAATCCATAGAACTGTATGACACAAAGATTGAACCCAATGTAAACTATGGACTTTAGTTAATAATAATGTATAAATACTGGTTTATCAGTTTTAACCAATGTACCACGCTAATGCAAAATTTAATAACAGAGGAAATTTTGTGTGAGGAGTGGGGTGGAAAATGGGTATGTGGAAACTCTGTACGTTCTGCTCAATTTTTCTATAAACCTAAAACTTCTCTAAAACAAGAGTTCATTAATTATGAAATGAAGCAACATCAAGATTAAATGATAGTACAAAAAACAGAATGAAATTCAAAGGTAGCTTTTGTCTTATTGATTAGGCTATGGAATCTAATAGAATTTAGGGAATGAGAAGGGAAGAACAGAATAAATTTCACTGGAGAAGATGAAAAAGGGTACTTTTAAGAGAAAAAGAGTATACAAGTGAACAGGCAGTACTGAGAAAGAGTAGACATATACCAGTGGAGCCCAGGGACTGAGACAGCTGCCATGGGAAAAGAAACTGAGGAATTTGCAAAAGGGTTTTCTCCACATTGTACAATGTAACCCTGTCCTCTGCTTCCCTTAAAAAATATGAGTAAAATTTCTACTATTATACTTTATTATTTTAGAACTTGGTTTTGTGATTGGACAATGTGTTCCACTGGCCTACAAGTGGGCACAGAGACTTCTGTTTTTGTCCATGATGGCTCATCAGGGACCAGAGTTACCTTTTCACTTTAAACCAATTAAAAACTGGACAAAATATATAAAACAGCAATATTCAGACACTGGAAAACAGAAGGTGCAATGCAGTAATTCCTCACAGAAGGAAAACAAAGGATGGCTCTATGATGACCCCAGCTTACTGCCTGGAGTTTCCAGGCCACAGCATAAGGAAGGGAAACCCAGACAAAATTTACTGGTTTCCATGAGTTCAGAGACAAAGTTTAGAGCCTGGGGAGGCCAAAGCAGCTAGAATTCACAGGGCACAGTATTAGACGAAAGACAGCTGCACAGATTGAGGGAGACAGAGCTGCACACATGTGCAGAGGGTTCCCCTTGATGCAGAGAGAGGCTTTTACTATCTACTCCAAAGCTCTAGACACCTTTCTACCCCACCTAGTCAGGCAGGGCTGCCTCAGATCAGAAGCCTCTATAGGTTTTGGGAGTAATGTAGAATGTATAGCTACCCTTCATTTAAACATGGCAACGTTAGGGTTTAAAGCTGAATTTGAAAGAGGGAAGGATTTCCATCAACTTTTTTCAACCAAATCTTATTTTCTACTTCTAAAAATATATTCCACAGTATACATTATATGATTGTTTCAAAATTCTCTCCAGTATTAAGACATAAGCAAGGCAGTTTCTCCTTTCTGTTGACAAGTAGTCAGAAGTTTGAATTCTAGAAGTTTGAGTTCTAGCAGCTCTTTATATTCACGAACTGATAGGTACTCAGCTGCAGTCAAACCACCAGTATATATGAGATAATCTATAATTCATAGTAACAAGACGTGCAAGTGACCTCTTAAATTTATCACTGCTCCACCTCAAAGGCCTACCACCTCTGAAAGATTTTTGTAGCATATTCTCATCACAATAAAAAATCCTCCATTCCTAGTAATAACATGTTACTCTTTAAAAATGAGTCTGTTTTTGGTAGCAAGTAGCTAACTAGGAATTTCAGTATTTGCTTGATCGCCAGCTCAACTGTATAGCTCCAAACTCCAGGGAATTTATGTTGTAACTTCATAATTATTACTTTAAATTATAGAAAATTATAGAAATTAATACACTCAACAGAAGTTATTAATACAAAGATGCTTAATGAGTGGAAACTTACGTGGCTCAGTCGCAGAAACACCAGTAATTTCTTCAGTTGAGTGTGTTTTTATGAATTCTGAAATAACAGGGAATTTGTCATGAGTTTCAATATGAATTATATTTATTAACTGAGTTTAAATTTTATAGTTTTTATTTTAATAACTCATTCAAGAGAACAAAAATTTTAAGAAAAACAACTGAGCTGTCTACAACTGTAGACCTTCCCAATCAGGCAACAAAGTGTAACATCTAAAAAAATGTGTGTAACAACTGAGTGATATGAACTCATCATTTTCTCAACAAAACTTGTTTTTCCTCTTATATTCTCCTAGCTAATGTTACCATCATCTAATCTCCCTTCCTTTCATATCCAATCACCATGTTTTGCCAATTTTATCCAGTAAATATTTCTCAAATATTCCCCTTTTCCTCTCTTTATTTGTGCTCTAATATAGGCACTTATCACACATTTAAGGTACAGCAGTAACTTCCATCTCCTACTCTCAATCTCCAAATCTAGCTTCTTAATGTGGCCAGAATAATCTCTCTAAAGTAAAATTCAACATGTCACTTCCCTAGAAATAATCTTCAATGATTCCCTATTATATATGGGGGAAAAAAGAAAGTATTCCTAAAGCATTTAATCCCTCTGCCTAGGCTCTTTCTTATCTTACTCCTACCTATTACTTCACACTTTATAACCATTCCAGTGGTATTTCCCTATTTATACTGTTTCTCATGCTATACCCTCTTCTTAGAGTACCAAATATCTCCCATCTTCACTTGACAAAGTCCTATTCATCCTTCAAGGTTGCATAAAACCTAAATAACTCCCTCAGGTTGAACAAGCTGGCTTTCTATGGACTCACTGCAAATTACACATACCTTTATCATGCATTACACTATATTAAAATGATACATGATGTGCTTGTATCCTTACTATGTTGTGGATTTTGAGGGTAATAACCAAGTGTTATTCATTTTATACACTCCCAGAATCTGGAACATAATAAGAACTTTTATTGAAAATATCAACTGCTATTGAATATCTTTGAATTTATCATTGTATAATTTTTATGGCTATAAATTTTTAAACTTTAAGTCTCAAAATGTTGGTGCATTTAGGAAACCCTATAAAGGCTGGACTTGTATAAAATATTATCACCTTCAATTTTCTGCAGTACAGTTTCATAAGTTTGCACTTCTTCTGGTGGAATTTCACTATCCCTGTTAAGATTTCAATAAATATAACATATTTATTATCAAAGATTAAGCATTTAAATTACACTTAAGAACTAGAATATATGCTCTCTAGACATATGCAGTTTGTAAAATAAAATTTAACATGTTCTTTAACCTTTATTCACAGACATTAAGGTAAATTATCTAGTAGCAAGAAAACAAGTAAAAAAGTCAAACTATGTAATTCTATGAATTCTGTGTATTCCATGAACATAATTAGGTATACCAACAACAACATAAACAAAAATAATAAAACTGTATTTGGTAGAACCATGAGATTTCTTTTTACCAATATATTATTAATGGTGTAATCAATTGTTAAGAGCACAAGTTTTAGAGTCAAATTGCTTGGCTCAAAACCTGCTGTAAATTACCCACTTACTAAATATGTGGCCTTGGGTAAGTCACTTAACCTGAGCCTCAGTTTCTTCATCTATCAAAATTGGGGTATTAGAGTACTTATTTCATAAAGTATTATAGTTGTAAGGACCAAAGAACACATGTAAAGTTACTAGGAAAATACCTAGCACATATCAGACATGTAAATTTCAGGTATTAATATTAATATATGGCCTGAAATTAATTTCACGCCTCACAATAGATAGCTCAGGTTAATATATCTGAACCTCTGAACCAAGGCTCTATTATGCAGCTCCCACTGAAGCCAACTCAAGTATCACTGCCTTCATTCCTTTAAGTCTAGTCATTGACAGATGGAGAGATCAATAAAGTAACTGCATAATAAATAGTAGCCCATCCTAATTATGGGTACTTTCTATTTTAACACTGTAAAATAAAAGGATTTTGTGTATGTTTAATGCAAAAAAAAAGGTTGTTTATAAATGTAAAGTTTTACTTGGATAAGTTAGTATACTAGATATGGTTAGGGATAGGGGAACAAATGACTTGGAGTTGATTTAATTCAGGTATTCATAAAAATTACTCACATTTATTTACTGTTTATTACATGTGATAGGAAATATGTAGATGTGCATGACTGGTTCTGATCTTGAGGAAGTGACAGTCTTGACAGGAAAACTTACACGTGAATGATTAAATTAATAGCTTATTAAGTTAAATTGGTAACTAATTATTAATTCATAATAAAATTATTAGGTATATTATTTGATGCCAAACAATAGGGGACAAGAAAGAAGTAACAAAGGAAGAGATCACTGTAGGACGGGTTTCTCAACCCCGGCACTACCAACATTTTAGACTGGATAATTCTTTGTTGTGGGAGACTGTCCTGTGCATTTTACAATGCAGCATCTCGGACCTCTACCTAGTGCCAGTAGCATTCTCCCACTCCTAGTTGTGACAACCAAAATGTCTACATACAAGTGTCCTCTGGGGCACAAAGTATCCCCCATTTGAGAATCAATGCTATAAGGGAAGAGCTCTACCATGGCACTCTATCAACATTACACAGATCCACAAAGGCTTGACAGCAGTCAGACCCAAATCATAGTAGAATGCCCTGAAATTTCTGCTGCAGAAAGAGAAGATAAGCCTGGTGAAGAGTCTCCATGAGGCAGTTTTCCATTCCTGTCTTGTGGAAGACTAACACAAGCTCACTTCTCATCTGTCTCCCTAATTTCAGTTGAGCACAGAGCTTTCTACCCCTCTCTTCTTTACAGCCCAGTTGAAGCCCTCTGTTAAGACTATAAAGCTGCATACAGCAGAAACTAACACAACATTGTAAATCAACTCTACTCCAATAAAAAATAATTTAAAAAAAACTATAAAGCTGCATGGATGTAGTTTACATTTTGCTCCTTCATGGCAGAGCAACAAATCGCTTGTGTGGCCTGTCATCTGGTCCCTGCTGCTCCGTGTCGTCCTGTGGAACTAGGAACACAGGGAGCTGACACCATGCTGACCTTGTTCTTGCTGTCTGTATAAGTAATTCAACACCATTTGTGCCCACTGTCTCCGTACCAGCCTAATATTTGGAAGTATGACAAGCCAATCTCATAGCTGCCACTGTGCTGCCACTTTGGGGCTGCCTGACTGCTTGCCAATAATGTAAACAAAAGCATGTTTAAAAAATAGTTTTTAAGATACAACAATGAAAGGGGTAGAAAGTACCGAAGAAGTTTAGCGGAATGAACTGGAAAGAACTGGGCAGATTATGAAGTTTATAAAGATTATAACTCAGATCTACTAAGTGAGACATCTCAAAATATGAATTCTGTTCAGGCTGACTTCTTGCTAAGGGAGAAAAGGTCTGATACTCATACAGATATTCATATACTGGTATGACAGTAACACTGAAATTCTCCTGATCCAATCGGTAAATAGCTCTGCCCCATGATAAATGGGTAAATAGCCAATCAAGTGTCTGCCAACTGCCCTCACCCCTTGACCTTCCCAGGATCCAGCACCTAAAGGAGTAATCTTCAGCACAACAAATGGTATACAGAACCCTGCTTCACTGCTAATATTTATTCTAATAAGTTGGTGCCCATATTATCCTGGTTCTTCATATTTTTAGTATTACCACCAAGAACAAGACAGTATATGCCTGAAGAATATAAATTACATACACACACACATGCACACCATTTTTTTTCTAGTATCAAAAAAACGTTAAAAAGGAAACTTTAAAAAGGACTGGAGGGCTTTCCTGGTGGTGCAGTGGTTGAGAGTCTGCCTGCCGATGCAGGGGACACGGGTTTGTGCCCCGGTCCGGGAAGATCCCACATGCCGCGGAGCGGCTGGGCCCGTGAGCCATGGCCGCTGAGCCTGCGCGTCCGAAGGCTGTGCTCCGCAACGGGAGAGACCACAACAGTGAGAGGCCCGCGTACCGCAAAAAAAAAAAAAAAAAAGACCGGAAATAAAAGCAGAGTAGAACTGTCAAATAAAGAAGGGAATAGACTAAGAAGGGCTGGCAGCAAAGCAATGGATAAAAATTACAGCAAACCAAGGAAATAAAGCTATACTAAAGATTCCTGTTAAACTAAGTAAAATAAAATTATACATTTTCCTAAAATATCTGATACCATAGTAAAATAGTTTCTTGCACTCTATATGGCTGGCTAAGGGTGATTTTATGAATGATTCATTACAACAGACAGGATATTAGAAATAACTGGGTAACTAAATTGGTTGAACAGAGACAACAGTATTAAAGAGACATCTTACTCCAAATGCATGATTTCAAGTAGGCCTTCAATATCACCAGGTAATCAAAAGATATGTCCCTGTCCATTCACTCTTCCATTTAGTGACTATTACAAATCCTCATCTCTCTTCTCAAAACTCCTATCCTATCCTCACTCTCACCTGATAATCTTTCTTTCTACTTCCCTTAGAAGACTAAACCAACCAAAAGAACTTCCACAGGCTTCTACACCACATCTACCCTATATCAGCATCTGTACCCTGATACTTTGCCTTCCTACCTGGTTTCATACATAATTATTCAAGCCCCTATTTCATCTCCACTCACATATTCAAGGATACTGCCCCAGCAATTCCTCTTTGACTCTTTATATCATAAATCTTTTCCTGTCTAATGGGTCATTCCTATTAGCCTACAAACATTCTGTTATTTTTCCTAATTTATAAGAGCCTTATTTTGTCCCCACTTCCCTCCAGCTACTATGCTATTCTTTTCCCCCTTTTGCAGCAAAACCACTCCAAAGCATTGTCTATGGCTACTGTCCCCAACTGCCCTCTGTCCAGAGATTTCTCCTAACAACTGCTCTTCTCAAGGTCAACAAATGACATCCTTTCTAAATCCACTGGTCAGTTCTTAGTCCTAATCTTCTTGACTGACCCACAGCATCTGACATCATTGACAGTCCCTTTGCATAGTCTTCCTTCTTCATTTATCTTACAGGACAGCACATTTACTGGTTTTCTTTCTGCCTCACTAGGTCACTCCTCATTCCCCTTTGCTAGCCCCTCCTTTTGTCCCAGACTTCTTAATGTTGGAAGGGCCCCAGGGATCAGTCCCTGGTCCTCTCTTCTCAATTTACACTCACTCCCTTCACTATATATCTACCCTTAAGTTCCATCCATATGTAAACGGCATCCCAATTCCTATTTTCAACTCACACCTCTCTCCCGAACACCAAAACATATATGTAATGGCTCCCTCAAATATGCCTAACAACATTTCTGGCAACTCAGAATTTCCAGTATCTTCAAACCAGAACCCCTGATCTGCCTCCTCAAAACTTGCTTCACCTACAGCCTACCTCAGTGAAGGTAGTATCAATTCCATCCTTCTGGCTGCTCAAGTCAAAAGTCTTGAACTCATTCTTGGCTATTTTTCCTCTCACACACAATATCCAATCCATCAGGAGAGTTTACTGACTCCACCTTCAAAGTATGTCCAGAATCTCGGGTCTTCCCTGGTGGCGCAGTGGTTGAGAGTCCGCTTGCCGATGCAGGGGACACGGGTTCGTGCCCCGGTCCGGGAGGATCCCACATGCTGCGGAGCGGCTGGGCCCATGGGCCATGGCCACTGAGCCTGTGCGTCTGGAGCCTGTGCTCCGCAACGGGAGAGGCCGCAACAGTGAGAGGCCAGCGTACCGCAAAAAAAAAAAAAAAAAGTATGTCCAGAATCTCAAAGCTCACCAACTCCACCACAACCATTACCCTGATCTGAACCACCATCATCTCTTCCATGGATTACTGCAAAAGTCTCCCAACTAGACTCCCCATTTCTACTCCTGACCCTGTATAGTCAATTTTCAACACAGCAGTCAGAATGGTCCTTTTGAAACATATGTCAGATCATGTTACGCTCTGCTCAAAACCTTCCCCAATGATAATCAGAATAAAACCCATTTTTTTTTAAGAAGACCTAAAGAGCCTTCCATTTATTTCCTGTCAGGACCTTTTCAAGTTTGGAATAGTTTGAGATCAGGAACAAGACAAGGATGCTTAATCTAGCCTCTTTTATTCAACATAATATTGGACATTCTAGCCATAGGAATCAGACAGCAATCAGAAATAAAAGGAATCCAAACTGCAAAGGAAGACTTAAAACTGTCACTGACTGCAGATGATATGATACTATACATAGAAAACTCTAAAGACTCCACCAAGAAACTATTAGGACTAATAATTCAGTAAGTTGCAAAATACAAAATTAATATACAGATATCTGTTGCATTTCTATACACTAATAAAGCTCTATCAGAAAGAGAACTTAAGAAAACAATCCCGTTTGCAATTGCATCAAAACTAATGAAATACCTAGGAACAAATTTAACTAAGGAGGTGAAAGACCTGTACTATGAAAACTAAGAAAGTGATGAAAGAAATTTAAGATGACACAAATAAATGGAAAGATATACTATTCTCATAGATTGGAAGAATTAATGTTGCTAATGTGCCCATAATAATCTAAAGCAATCTATGGATTCACTGCAGTTCCTATCAAGGTACCAATGGCATTTTTCACAGAACAAATAATTCTAAAGTTTTTATGGAAACACAAAAAACCCAAAGAACCAAAGCAATCTTGAGAAAGCTAGCAGTATCACGCTCAGTGATTTCAAACTATGCTACAAAGCTATAGTAATCAAAACAGTATGGTACTGGCACAAAAAGAGACACATAGATCAATGGAACAGAATAGAAAGTCCAGAAATGAACCCATGCTTATATGGTCAATTTTCTACAACAAAGGATGCAAGAATATACAATGGGGAAGAGACAGTCTCTTCAATAAATGGTGTTGGAAAAACTGGACAGCTACATGAAAAAGAATGAAACTAGACCTCTTTCTTACACCATATACAAAAATAAACTCAAAATGGATTAAAGACTTAAATATAAACCCTGAAACCATAAACATGCTAGAAGAAACACAGGCAGTAAACTCTTTGACAGTGGTCTTAGTAATATTTTTTTGGATCTCTGTCCCCAGACAAAGGCAACAAAAGCAAAAATAAACGTGTGGAATTATATCAAACTAAAAAAAAAAAAAAGCTTTGCAAAACAAAACAAAAAGGCAACCTAATGAATGGGATAAGACATTTACAAATGATATATCTAGTAAGAGGCTAAAATTCAAAATATACAAAGAACTCATACAATAGCAAAAAAACAATTCAATTAAAAATGGGCAGAGGACCTGAATAAATACTCTTTCAAAGAAGACATGCAGATGTCCAACAGGCACATGAAAAGAGGCTCAACACTGCTAATCATCAGGGAAATGCAAATCAAAAACCACAGTGAGAAGTCACCTCCCAACTGTCAGAATGGTTATCATCCAAAAGACCAAAAAAATAACTGTGGGCAAGGATGTGCAGAAAAGGGAACCTTCATGCACTGTTGATAGAAATGCAAACTGATGTGGCCACTATGAAAAACAGTATGGAGGTTCCTCAAAAAATTAAAAATAGTACTGCCATATGATCTAGTAATTCCACTTCTGGGTATTTTTCCAGAGAAAACAAAAAAACTAATTCAAAAATATATATTCTCCCCAATGTTGATATGTTCATTGCAGCATTATTTACAATAACCAGGATATGAAAGTAACCATCAATAGATGAATGGATAAACAAAATGAGATATATACATATATTCTTAGAACCAGAAAGCAGAAATGGTGGTTGCCAGGGGCTGAGGGGGATTGGGGAAATGCGGTGATGTTGGTCAAAAAGTACAAACTTATAGTTATAAGATGAATAAGTTCTAAAGATCTAATGTTTAGAACATTAGCATGGTGTTTACTGTTCATAATACCATTGTACTGTATACCTGAAATTTGCTGAAAGAGTAGATCTGAAGTGTTCTCACCACAAGAAAAAATAACTATGGAGGTGCAAAATATCACTGAAGATATTCTATGATGATGATTTATTCATCTATTTAATTTCAAGACAGATAAACCTCAAATATCAAACATGAGTGTCAACAGATAATGGAAGTATTCTTGTAATCATTCATCTGAATCTTCCTCCCACCTACCAAAAAAAGGATTTTCTCAACTAAAAAGTACAAATTTAATCTTTGGAACATATCCCTGTCCCTGTGCAATTTTTAAAGATGGTGTTCTTGAGCAATGAACTATTTCACTACACCTTAAATATATTAAGGAAGCTACCTAATCAAACTGAGAGAAGAGTTTATAAGCCAGATATTTCAAAGCCAGCAGTGTCCAATAGAACTTTCAAACAACAGGCATATGTGGCTACTAGGCACTTGAAATGTGGCTAGTGTGACTAAAGAATTGGTTTTTTAATTAAATTTAATTGAACTTTAATTTTCATAGCCACACGTGCCTAGTCCCATTTCAAACTATTAAAAATTTCAAACAGGAACGAGCTGGCTAGATCTTCTGATTTGATTTAGAAGCTCTATGTATAGTATAAAATCTGAACCATTATCTTCCATTCATTACTAATTATATACCCACTCTTACTGTTTAATTCTTTTAACTCTTACATTTTACTTACTTGGGTTTAGATGACATGTCTTTGAAGGTGAATTTAGACCTTTCTTTAAGGCGATTTTTCAGTTCTTCAAGTTTGTGCATCTGCTTTACTATTTGTGCAATGCTTAAACTGACTGTTTTATCAGGTGCTGGAAACTCTGCTGAAAAAGTTTGACCTCTACTTATCTAAAATAATAAAATTAGCCAGTTACTTAGGAAATACTCATTTTTCTCCCATACCTCAAAGAAATTTCATCATTTCATTTATCATATATAAATGTTGTATTATTCTTATCTATCTATAGCTATAATCACATACTAATATTTCACAATATTAGTGAAATTATATGAGCAATTGCCTAGCAACAGAATTATAGCTAAGTGTTGGCTTTTACATGTCAGAGCTCAAATTCAATCTTCTGTTTATTATTTTAATATATAAGAATTTTAAGCAAGTTAAATAACAATTATAACAGGATCAGTTAAAGGCAATTCAAAATATTTAAAAGAGAACTCTAATCCTTATGATGGGAGGAAGAGCTGAAAAAAGAAAAGTAGTCAAGCCATAGTCTTAGGACATAGCAAATAGAAATTCTAACATTGGGAATTTAAAACAGAGACTTCACTTTAGTAATGGTTACCTGAATGGGATTAAGATATAACAGCAGTAAGTAAGTACTGGGTAATGTACTGGAAGTCTGAGACTGTGGGATGCAGAACAGGTGGAAGGGAAGCTGAAGTTGTGTGAATACTCTATGGACAAAGGCAAGATCCCTAATAAGAGGACATCAATCATAAACTGAACCTAAAAAGTGACATAGCAATCAGCTACAATTATCAATTTATTGCCTCTCATCTAAAATCCATTCTTCACTGTCCTGTTTATAGTAGTGGAACATTTCTGTCTTGACAGGCAGCATGATGTTAACTTTTGTCAGCAGAGGGCCCTAGACACTAGAGGAGGAAGAAGCTTTTCTTCCAAGTTCTGTCATCTCTCTGCTTAATCCTAGGGCAGTACACAGTGTAACTAGTAGTACTCACCTCCAGCAAATTTCAACAGCACCACCCCTATGGATGGTTTCCTGGCAAGGTCCCTGGCATGGCACATTCCCCACAGGCAGCTTTTCCCAGAACTTTAAGGACTAAACCACAAACATAGCCAAGGTAGAACTAGAATAATTCTCTAATTCCCTAAGGCTATCCTGGAAATCATTCTGCTGTATTAACAGCATACATAAAATCTTTTCCAAAATAAGGATAGAGACCAGTATTTCTCAAACTGGTGGCAAAGCACGTGAAAATAAAAGTATAAAAAACTCATTAAAATAACATTAAATTTAAAGAAAACAAATATATAATTTTATGAATAAGCATATATCATATTATGCATGACTTTTTAAATACAGGAGAAATATTTAAGTTGATAAGTTTTGTCTTGCCACTTATTTACTATTTTGTGTAAATTATGGAAAGAATAATAATTAATTTTCCATTTTTCAATTTTAGGAGAAAGAATGGGTCAAATTCAGAGTAGACCACATACATGCAGGAGTATTGTATATAAATCACTAAGAAACATTTTAGTCTACCCATTTATTCCTTCTTTACCTAAATCAAAAGATTATAACCAATGGTTATTAAAAATTTTTAACTTATACCTCAAACTGGTTTTCAAATGAGACAAAATATTAACTTAATTAACAAGAAATGCTACACTTACCTCTTCCATCTGATTGACCTGTCGCTGAAACCACTTTAAATAAAAGAAGGAACAGAAAGGAAACAATATTGACAAGTCAATTTCTGCAGTGAAATAAATGAGTGTGTGTGTGTGTGTGTGTATCAAATATTAGTCCTACACCAAACATCATTTTATCTTAGGGTTCAGAATGGGGCTAAGGCAACATGTAACTGAAACGTAAAATTTTTAAATATATATAGCAGCAAGTTTGGGAGTTATTTTTACTTCCTCAAAACTTAGAAAACGCTTTTTCACTTATATGTATTTCTGTATTAAATTTTAGTAGGCAATATATTGAACATACCTTAAAAAGAGATTCCAAAATCTGAAAATAAAGTTTTAATGAAAACATTTAAAAATAAAGTTCCTCACAATGTATGATATAATAAAATATTTAATTCAAGTCTCTTGAAATTTTCAATCACCAAAATACACAAGTTTCTAAAATATAACTATAAATCTATAATCCAATCACAATATTTTTATATTTACAGAGTTTTTAGTACATCTTGCATAGACAACTTAGTTCTAGAAAAGAAAAAGAATCTTCCATTGTTACAGATCTACATTAAAAAAACCCAAACTAATTCACATATATGATTTCATATATTTTCTTAATATAGGTAAGAAATAAAATTTAAGTTCTTCTCAGAAGAGCATTATTTTTTTCATAGAGCTGAGAGTACAATAATGAAAAGCATTATCTTATGAACATTATTTCTTCAATATAACTTTGCTATGCTAAAAGGTCTAAGAATCAAGATATAAAATATTACACTACTACTTGATTTTTTAAATGGAAAATGCAAAGAACTGGTTTGGGAGATTATGAGAGAAAATGAATATACAAAACCTATCACATGGTCCGAACTACCAATATTTACCATTTACTAAATGTAATGCTAACCTGATTACATTTGCCACAAAAAACAACCAAACCCACTCTATTACAACCAAATTAAAAGTTTTGAATTACATTATTGAAGAAAAATTTTATTACATGCATTCAGGCAGAAGAAAAGTTGCTTAACTGAAAAAAATCAGGCTAGTCTAAATTTCTCTTCTTTGACACTAACTCTAGATCAACAGTTCAAAAACTGTGACACCACAACCAAAAGCATCAGCATCACCTAAACAACCATATTTGTTAGTAATGCAGATTACTAGGCCCCACCCCAGCCTACTGACTCCAAAGCTCTAGTAAGTAGGACCAGTAATTTGTATTTAAACTATCTATCCCTCCAGTTGATTCCTTTGCATGCTAAAGTTTAAGAATCACTGCACTAAGTAATAAGAAAGCATAGGTCTAAGCAAAAAGGGCTGAGACCCTCAAGAAAACATACCACAGCAAATTAATGTCCACATCTGAAGGAAAATATTTTCAGCTGTATAAGGATTTAGAAAGTAATGTCCAATAAGGCATACTACCTTGCAATAAAGTCATTCTTTCTACTATCTGGAGAGATTCCAAGGTTCTCAAAATCTCCTTTACTGTCTGGGAACGTAATGGGAATCCCTTGTATGTATCAATTCATCCACTCATTGCAGTCAGGGTTCTACAATTACTTAAACCACTTAAAGCCTAGAGAACAGTGGCTTTCTTAACTACTGAACCATCAATAACACACCATCAATTATTACTGGTACTGCTGAATGTAGGACATTATTGATAAAAATAAGTGGAATATGAAAATTGCCCAGAAGTGAGGAAAACCAACATTAGACACAACACTAAGCAGAAAAAAAACTTCTATGATACTACGGAGCAACGTCTATAAAGTTCTTGGGGGAAATATTAAACCTCCATTCTAATTTTAAAGATATTATCATTTAAATGTGAAGCCAAAATGAAACTATTTGCAAGAATTCAGAGATTTAGAAACTATTTTACCACACATTCTAACCTAGCAAAACAATAAGTTAATCTCAGAAAATGAACACAAGAAAAAACTATAAGCAAAGTAACAAGGAAATACCCTACTCTACAAAATTGTTGTTAATGGGGCTGGCATTTAATGTAGCTGTTATAAAAAGCTTCCTAAAGAGAAGATAGATAGCATAATGTTTAAAAAAAAAGGAAAGTAATAGTAATATGAAACTGACATACCAGATAGACACAGGGTGTCACAGAAGCCAAGGGAAAGGCACTTCAAGAACAAAATGGTCAACAATGTCAAATCTGCTGAGGTGTCAAGAAAGATGCACACTTGATTTAACACTATGGGAGTCATTACTATCTTCAGATGGCTAGTTCAGTAGACATTGGGGGCAGAAGGCAAACTGAAGTACAGATAAATGGGAGAAATATGAAGTAAGTATAAGAATATTTTTGAAGAGTACTGTGTGGGAAAAGGTAGAACAATGTTGGGCAGTACTGGAAGGAAATATGCACTCAATGGAAGAATTTTATAAAACCTTGTTTAAAAGTCAACATTTTACTTTTTTATGATGGTAACATCCATAATCACATTCCCTGGATACTAAAAATTACTAAAAGGGTAGAATACATCTTGATATTTTTATGGGCTATTTGTATTTCCTCCTTTGCAAACACCTTTTTTATCTCCTTTGAGCATCTTGTATTGATTTACCTTATACTTATTGACAGGTAAATGTTATCTATATACTCTGGATTTCCTCTGTCTGATATATGTGATCTAAGTATTTTCCGCTATTTGAAACTTCTGCACTTCTCTTTATGAATTTTTTACACAATAGAGGTTTTAATATAGTTGAATTTAGCAATCTTTCCCTTTATGACTTATATATTCTTCTGTAATTGTTCCTTGCTCCAGGTCATAATGACAGCCTCCTATATCTGTTTCTAAATATGTTATTGCTTTTGATTTTTTATTAGGTCTTTAGTCCATCAGAAAATGATTTTTGTATATACTATAAAGAATAAACTTTTTTTATCTTATAAATAACCACTGTTCCAGGGCCATTTATTATGCTACTACTTCTCTATCATTAATAAAATTTTCCATATATAAAAGGGTCTATTTCTGAGCCTTTATTCAATTCCATTGGTCTATCTAACCTTGCACCAAAAGCACACAACCATAATTCATATAGCTTTCTAACAAGTCTTGATATCTGCTAGGGCAAGTCCTCTCACCTGTTCTTTGTCTTCAGAACTCACTTGGTTATTCTTGGTCCATTTAACTTCTATATAAAATTCACAGTCAGTTGCAAATTTCCACCAGAAAGATAAACCTATTTGGGGAATTAGGGAGTGATGACAGCAAAAATGGCTGTAGGGAGTTCCAAGGGCCTATCCTCCACAGAAAACACTGAAGAAAAAGTGAGCAAAAACTGTTACAATCAACTTTGTGAAAACTCTGGGAAACACTGAAGGCTTTACAGGAGCCAAATAGTGATGGATCAAGAAAAATGCAGGTTAAACATGCTAGGAGACCTTTGCGGCATTTAAACTTAGCCTTGCCCCACCCACTTCCCCAGAGCACTGGCAGTCTTAAAGACAGCAGCCTCCATTCCTGGTGTGGGTATATATTACAGTTCTGGAGGAAAAAAGAGGAATTGTGTTTTTCTGTTTTGTCCTGTCTAGAGGTTCCTTGAAGGACTTGTAGCTTTTACCTTTGTTTCATCTCAGAACTCTCTCAGGGCAGAAAACCAGCGAAGTGGACAGTATTCCTCAAAAAAACTGAAAGGTAGTTAAACAAGCCACTGCTCCCTGGAGAAAATGATTATAGCTGAGGCAAACAATATACATGTCAAAGCCTAGAAGTAAAAACGGGAGAGAGTTACTTTGGAAAAATAAGGATTTTGAAATTCCCATATATTAGGGGGAATCTAGTAAGCTACACACTTGCCCAGAGCAGGACTCATGCTCAGAAAATATCGTAGTAGACACTAAACTTTCACCTCTGCCTGGTCTTTAGCTCCACACAAGTAGAAAATTAAGGCTAAGGCAGTTCTGTAAACAGCCTGGCTAAGTTTTAAAGAAGTGCCTCAAAACAGAGCCAGTCTTCAAATGCCAGGAGAATTTTTTTTTCTCCTTTTCTTTATGTTTTTGTGGCTCCAGGCACTTAAGGAAATCTCTGTCAAACCCACTAGTTGACCACATCTATAGGAACAGAAACCTGAGAGATGAAACACAACAAAAACTACAAACTTGAAAAACAGTTTAGATTTCTATTTTCCAATTTGGCACGTAAGAAGCCTAGATCCACCACATTGTCCTAACAACAAGTAAAAAGCTGAACAAATTAAAAATCAACAAATCTTCTTAAATCTATCACAGAACTAAAGTCACAGAGCAAAAACTATGGCCTCCAAAATTGGAGAGACAGGCAATACAGAAGATCACAAATTACTGGAGCAGAAATCTGTGAGCACAAACCTCCACAGTACTGGGGTACAAAAACCTAAAGTGTAAATGGTGAATCACTGCAGGCTCAGCATGGACAAGCTTGAGAGTTAAAAATTCTGGGGATGGGGCCAAGTTTTGAGGGATTTTTTTTAGTAATTAAACATACACTTACTACTTGGTGTTTACCCAAATGAATTGAAAACTTATACACATAAAAAAACCTGCACACAGATGTTTATAGCATCTTTATCCGTAACTGCTGAAACTTGGAAGGAAGCATGCTGCCTTTCAGTAGGTAAATAGATAAACAACCTGTGGCACAAGACAATGGATTATTCTGCACTAAAAACAAGCGAGCTATCAATCCATGAAAAGACATATAGGAATCTTAAATCCTTACTACTAAGTGAAATAAGCCAATCCAAAAACACTCCAAACTGTATAATTCCAACTATACAACATGGTAAAAAAGGAAAAATATGGAAACATAAAAATCAGAAGCTTCCAGGATTTTTAGGGGGCAGGGAGGGATGCATAAGTGGAGCAGAGAGGATTTTTAGGGCAGTGAAACTATTCTGTATGATAGCATCATTGTGATGCATGTCATCATACATTAGTTAAAACCCACAGAATGTACACCACCAAGAGGAAACCTTATGTAAACTATGGACTTTGGGTGATAATGCTGTCAATATAGGTTCATAATTCATAAAAAAGATATCACTCTGGTGCACAATGTTGATAGTAGGGGAGGTTGTGCAAGTGGGAAAAAGGGGTATATGGGAATTCTCCGTACTATCTGCACAGCTTTGCTGAGAACATAAAACTACTCTTAAAATAAAATCTATTTTATAAAATAATAGTTTAGGAAAATCACTAAACAATCAATACAGCAAGAAATAAGAATAAAATTTGAGGAGAGGAAAATTTGATGTCCAGAGTTATAAAATTAAAAATGTCTAGTTTTCAACAAAACTTATGAAGCATTCACA